TTTATCTGTTTCATGGACCCCAAAAAATCTTAAAATTTTCGATTGCGGAGCTGAAAAAGGCATATAGGGAGAAATATAGGTGTCGTGAGCAATGAAATTTTTAAATCGTATTTTTGTAGCGTACACAATTTTTGAGGATTTTCCGACAATTTATTTATAAATTAATCCTTTTGTACTTTAATTAACGTTTTTCCGATGAGAACCCTGACAATACATAATGAAGGGTGTCAAATTTTGGTTTATTTTTAAATTATTGGGTATTAATTAAAAATTTTATTTTCTACTCTTCACGTGACACTTTTTCTCATTTTAGTAATGTTTGAAAGTTTCGATATATTAGAACCAAAACATGCAAGTTAAATTAAATTCTAAAAATGAAAAAGGATGAGGAAGGTGATGAATTGGCTATAAAATTTCAATAATTTATAAAAAATATATACCTATTTCTTACTAAAAGTTACAAACAATTATGAAAGCAGATTTTTTTATCTCCTTTAGTTTATTACTATACAAATTCTATGGTCTCTTTAAATTTGCACCCATTTCTATTCTTTTTGACCAATAAATGAGCTTTGAGCCAAATCAATCACTCATTAAGTGGTAAAGGCTAAAAGATACAGATGTTTTATTTTTTGTTTTTTACTTCTAAAATATGTCCAAACCCTTCTCTTCAATCATTAAATATTCGACTCTAGGATGGCATATATTTCTCGTTAATTATAAAGGTCAAAACAAGCCAGATGTTCAAACTAAAGAGAGAAAGGAAAAATATTTAAAGTGAAAAGAGTAAGAATAGGGAAGAAAATAAGGAAAAATTAAATAAATTAGGTGGAATAACAGCTATTAAAATTTGAAGGGAATTTAAAGAACAATATTTTTTTATTTCTTAAATAATTATATCTAATTTTATTTCGATTGGTTAATGATCAACTAATAAGGGGCCGTCAAAATAAATAATGCATTATATTTTTTAAAATATTTATTTAATGTTAAAATAGCTACATTAAATTTCAAATTTTATTTCAATATCGAGTTTATTTCTAAGTTTTCTTTTCAATCTTCCTCCTTTTGTTTGATAGCAAATCAGTTGCTTCGCAGTTATTTTTGACACAGTTGTCGCATAATTCAATCTTTATGATCACTCTATCACCATTGCGAACTGTTTTGTCTTTTGAATTGAAGAGACGATTCTGACATGCTAAAGTTTTAAATTAAAATTTATATATAAAATAATAAATAACCATAGCAAAGGTGATATTGCAGAACAGTTTTCCCTTTTACAAGTTTCCAAAGAAGCTTTTCTGGAAAAGCTGTTGGTGGTTGTACCATCTTCTCTGTATTCAAATGAAGAGTCGTATGTGGGGATGATTGTTCCATAACTGCCTTTAAAGGAACAGTCTGAGGTGGTGATGGTTGTTCCGTCACTGTTTTCAGAGGAAGAGCTGATGGAGGAATGGAAGGATTAAATTCAGGAATAATTTGACTCATTATTTTTTGCAAATTTTCTAAATGATTTTTATATTTGAGTGGAAGTCATATAAAGCTTAAGATTGTCGGGGGTAGGGGGAGGAATCGGATGGTGTATGTCTTTAGTGTAGGGGTAGGGGGTAGGAAAGGTTTTAGAATCCTTTTATATTTCCAAAATCATTTTATAAATTTTCCAAAATTTTTGTATTTCCAATTATTCTCAAATTAATAAAATGGTTCTCCTTATTGATGAAATTGCTAAAATGTTAAAATGTAGTGTTTCCTCACTGCGCTATCAACTCATTCACCCTTCGAATCGTGATAAAATTTTAAAACAGCTAAAGGGAAAGAAATTGAAAACAACTTATTTAGACATTAACGGAATGAGCAAAACTGTATTTTTTGATGACTTGAGTAGAAATGGAGCGAATAGTATTCTTGCTTATGGACGACTTTCATCACCTTTTAATATTAACGTCGCAGCACATTTTTACGCCCGACATCGTATACGACTTAATCACCCATATCACTTGTGTGTAGTTCAAAAAAATACTCATGAAGATAGATATTACCCTTTGGAATTATTAGAATTAGTGGAAGAAGAACCGTTATCAGGGTGGATGGCAAATATTTTTATTGATAAAACAACTCAGTCAACTTCACAACAATCTGAAAAAGATTTTGATGTGACATCACCCGTGCATCTTTCCGACTACGATGATAATCTTTGTTATGGAGGAAGAAAATTTAGTCAATCAGTAGATGATTTTGAATACATGCAAGGATGGTGATTTTACACACGTAGAAAATACACGCGCATACAATTCACACGCGCATTTTACCACATTTTTGTCTATTTTTTACTAAAAAACACCAAAAACAGTAAATTTTATCTTCTTTTTCTTAATTTTTTAAAAATTGTATCTTCTATCCACTAATTATGCTTTTTTACCCCTAAAATTGATATCTTCCACTTGTTAATTTTTTCAAAATAGTATTTCCTTTTTTCTTAATTTTGATTTCTTAAATTTAATTGTTATCTTCTATTTCTTAATTTTTTAAAAATAGTATCTTCTCTTCCTTAATTTTTTCGAAATAGTATCTTCTATTCACTAATTATGTGTTTTTACCCCTAAAATAGGTATCTTCGATTCCTTAATTTTTTAAAAAAAGTATTTTCCATTCCTTAATTTTTTCAAAAAAGTATTTTTCAATTGTTAATTTTTATTTAAAATAAATAAATATTACGAATTTTTGAAGATTTATTGGACTAACGTGTAATGATACAATAACATAAGTAAGGCAACATTATTAACTAAGTTAGCTAATCAAGAGTTAGGTAATTAATCTATAGGTGTAGGATACTTTGCCAACTTTAAGTTTATATTTTTATGAAAAGTTTTAGAGTATTATATATATTTTCCTTAAGGGCGGTGTAAATAGTTAGAAAAAATAGGTTCTTAAATCTATAGGTTTAAGAGACATGGCAACATTGAAGTTTATATTTTTTATGAAAAAGTTTTGATGTAGTATATCTATTTTTTCCTTAAGGGCTATGTAAATGGTCTATAAAAATTGGTCCTAAACGTAAAAATTTTGAATATATAAGGCTAAGTCAAGGTATGATTAAAATTTATACTTGTTGTGTTTTGCATTTTCTTCTCAATTTCAACTCGGATACGACAAGAATTAATCAATGACTTAGATTATATCCATAAGGTTCGCGCATGCAAAATGCGCGCATACAAAAAACACATGCGCATATAAAACACGTGCATTTATGCATTTTTTACCACTTTTTGCCTATTTTTTACTAAATAACATCAAAAAACAGTAAAATTCATCTTCTTTTCCTTAATTTTTTCAAAATTGTATCTTCTCTCCACTAATTATGCTTTTTTACCCCTAAAATTGATATCTTCCACTTGTTAATTTTTTCATAATAGTATTTCCTTTTTCTTAATTTTGATTTCTTAAATTTAACTGTTATCTTCTATTTCTTAATTTTTTCAAAATAGTATCTTCTCTTCCTTAATTTTTTCGAAATAGATTCTTCTAATCCTTAATTTTTTCAAAATAGTATCTTCTATTCACTAATTATGTGTTTTTACCCCTAAAATAGGTATCTTCGATTCCTTAATTTTTTCAAAAAAGTATTTTTCAATTGTTAATTTTTATTTAAAATAAATAAATATTACGAAATTTTGAAGATTTATTGGACTAACGTGTAATGATACAATAACATAAGTAAGGCAACATTGTTAACTAAGTTAGCTAATCAAGAGTTAGGTAATTAATCTATTGGTGTAGGATACTTTGCCAACTTTAAGTTTATATTTTTATGAAAAGTTTTAGATTATATCCATAAGGTTCGCGCATGCAAAATGCGCGCATACAAAAAACACATGCGCATATAAAACACGTGCATTTATGCATTTTTTACCACTTTTTGTCTATTTTTTACTAAAAAACACCAAAAACAGTAAATTTTATCTTCTTTTCCTTAATTTTTTCAAAATTGTATCTTCTCTCCACTAATTATGCTTTTTTACCCCTAAAATTGATATCTTCCACTTGTTAATTTTTTCATAATAGTATTTCCTTTTTCTTAATTTTGATTTCTTAAATTTAACTGTTATCTTCTATTTCTTAATTTTTTAAAAATAGTATCTTCTCTTCCTTAATTTTTTCGAAATAGATTCTTCTAATCCTTAATTTTTTCAAAATAGTATCTTCTATTCACTAATTATGTGTTTTTACCCCTAAAATAGGTATCTTCGATTCCTTAATTTTTTCAAAAAAGTATTTTCCATTCTTTAATTTTTTCAAAAAAGTATTTTCCACTCCTTAATTTTTTCAAAAAAGTATTTTCCATTTGTAAAATTTTTATTTAAAAATAAATAAATATTATGAAATATTCGAAAAATTTTTTAAATAAAGTGAAACGATAGAATATATAGCTAAGAAAAATATTAAATAAAAATATAATTCAAAATAGATAGAGACAATATAAGGTAAAATAGATAGAGAATACAATATAAAAATTAAAGATTATTGTGATACATAGCCGAAATTTAATACAGAGAAATCGCTCGGGCGTATGATGCCCTTGCCGACAAAAGGCTTATACATTTTATGAAAGGGTTGTGAGGTAACAGAGCTATTTACAACAGAAGGGCGTAAAAAATTGGGGTAGATTACACATATAGGGTCACGATCACCATTTTTAACAAAATTAATAACAGTATCTTTAAAGGTTTCATATCTTAGATTCTGATTGTTCATAACGTCATAATTAAGTGTCATTCCCCTCACCTTTAGAACATATTCATAGTCATCATTTCCATTCTTCCTTCTCAATTTCAATCCATATTGTTTTGCGCCACCACTGCAATATTCAAGAATTTCGTGCTGTGGGTATTCGTCAGTTAAATCACCAAGATGTGGCCCGAGTTCTAGTGGATTGTTGTCTTCGGGGTGGGCAAAGATTAAGGAGTCAGTATCTGAAGAATAAAAATAAATTTTGAAAAAGATTAAGAAAAAATACCAGTGTAAAGTAGTGAACAACCAGGCGTTCGTACCACTTTTTGCATCAACTTCAGGAGGTGCAAGCGTGCGGCGGAGGTTGTCCATAACGAAATCACCACATTTGAGCTATCATGTTCTTCTATCCATTCCTTCTTCTTTGAATAGCGTATCATCAATGTTTCGCTGTTTAATTCTTCAATTGCTGCAACTTCTATTGAATTGTTGTGAATGTATTCCCCGAGTTCAGCTAGATCGTCGGTGATGTGAGTTTGAGTAAATCCCTGATTTCTTAGTGAAAAACGCCCCCAAAGGTTATTTACAGCCAGTTTTGCAATTGCCCTCTTTCCTTTATTTGGTACCATCTTTTCCCTTTCTATCTTCATTCCAAACATTTCACAACATTCTTTCACAAATTTCTCTTCTTCTTCACTATTTCCTCTTATCTTTTCATCAAAACCGGAAGCGTGGATTTTATGGGCAAGAAATTCCCGCATGTATGGACGGAAAAGCTCGTTGTCTGACTGTTTATATTCTAATACACGATATATTTTGGTGACAATATATCCTTCGTCCAATGCTGCATTTAATTCAATGGATGTGCACGTGCTGACCCATCCTCGTTGTCTATTACTATGTTGACAATTATAAAACTCATTTCTTCCTCCATTTGGGTACATTTTAGCACATTTGGCACACAGCGGGAAAAGTAGTCTTTCTTCATCTAATTTCACAGGAAGAATAGGAATATCAATATTTCTTGGTGGAATTACAAATACTTTTAAAAGTGCCAAAGGAAATTTGTTGTCTGATGATGACGACCAATTAACTTCTTCATTTAAATTGTGGACAATAGGGTGTCCAATAGGGTAGTTGGTGATAAAATTCGTGAACGGGTAAAGCGAAGTTACATCATAATAGGATATTTTTTCTCCTTCTTTGACCTTATGGAAAAGTTTCAACGGTCCTGTGCGCCCTCCAAAAAAGCAATCTCTAATTTCCAAAGGACCTTCATCCAAATAATTATCAAACTTCTTCTTCATTTCTCTATCTCTTCTTAACATTTTTTCTATTTCACACTGCCAATAAACTTTTACTTCTGGTATTTGGGTCAAAATATATTCCATTCTTTCTTTATCCTTTTGTCGTTTCTTTCCTGCTGTTAATCCATTGGGTAGAATCATGTTGTCACGTGGATAACAATATTTACAACCATGCCAAGCGCACCCATTAACTTCTATTCCCAACTGTTCTTCTTCTATCCACCCATCTAATTTATATTTTCCAATCACCTTTTCACCTTTCCAGTGTGCTGTTTGAATTTCTACGTTGTTTTCCTCTCTGTACCACTGGAAGAACTTCAATGCCAAAAGACTTTGGTTATCCGCATTTTCATATCCTCTTTCAGGGACTATTGCCAGATGTTCCTTCTCTAAATGGTTGGTGCGGAAATGCTTCATACACGCACTTGCAATAGTCATACACTCCCTCAAAGCATCAATTCCATTATGCGAAGCTCTCTTTGTTGTTTCAAAAAATTCGTTTCTAAAGGCTATAAGCGCGCACATCAATATTTCAACATCATTAGTACAGTAGCTTGCCAGCGCTTCATCCAATAAGAAGGGAGTGTGTTTGTTCTCTTCATACCAATTATCAAATTCTCTTCTTTTAGTGGGCATCATTCCATCAGCCAAATAATCTTCTTTTGTTGGGAATATTCTTTTTCCATAGTTCTCTGGTCTGTTTGATAAATGCGGGAAAAATGGCTTGTCTTCTACTTCTAAGCCAAATGTTGGGACCAGTGCTGCTAGAGCCATAGGCATTAAATTATAGGAGTCACGAAATACAATATTTGGATTCGAATTTGGTCGCTTCGCTACTTTCATTTCATAAAGTTTGTTGCCTTTCATAATTAATTCGGGATTTAAATTTTGGTTGTATAATTTTTCAAAGACCAGAACCATATCGAAACGTCCACCAAAGTGGGAGTAGATGTAGGTGTCATAGTTGTTTGGAAGATCGTATAGTACCCATAGGGCAAAAGCTTCTAGTGGATTTTGTGAAATAATTTTGTGATCAGTAGTTGTATCATTGTAATTTTGATGTGAAAATGAGATGGTGCGGTGGGGGCCGCAAACTTTGCAACTTTTATTTTTTAAACTTCTTTTCCATTCCCCTGTTGTAATACATTTTGGACAGACAATCTTTGCAGCAATAAAGTTTGTCTCATGAATTCTTTGTTGTTTAGCAGGATTTGTAATTCTGTGCTGCATTGTCTCCAAGTCAAATGCCACTAATCGATATGGATCCCGTTGTTTAGGTTTTAAAGGCTTGATGTAGCACCCTCTTTTTGGATCGTGATAATCCCCGCATTTCCCACAATATTTTTCAAAACATACATGTCCTTTGCGACCATTTTTGGTGTTATCATGATAGTTATAAATTTCACCACATTTTTCACATTGTTTAGAATTTTTGCAAAATCCACTATTTAAATGATGTAAGAAGCAATCTATATTTTCAAACGTTTTGCAGCAATCTTTGCATTTTCTGAATAATTAAAAATTTATTAATAAAAATTAGTTACTTAAAATACCTGTGAAAATTTTCCTTTTTGCAGGGGAACTTTGGTCCCATTTGTGAACATTTTAAACAACGTGAAAGACATTTAGCATTATGATCCTGAGGTCTGCTGTAAACCATTTCACACGAAAGGCAATAAGATTGACCAAAAATATTTCCAACTTTCTGAACACCATCAAAATGGTTGTTGTCGTGATAAAGAATTATAGGGGTATCATAAATTTCGGGGCCATATTTATACTTTGGCTTGTAGTTCCCTGATGAACCAAAAATAAAGACTTTAAATGTAAATTTTCCATTATATTTGTTGTTCCAATAATCAACAACTGGTCCAACCCAGTCCTCTGCCGCATATTCTTTTAAGCCAAATGTAGCTCCAACTTCTTTAATAAGTTCATAAGTTTCTTTCTTAAATTTATTTCTAGATCCATAGCGGCCATGTAAATAATTGTAAAATTGTGAACGTGAGAGTCCTCCAGTGCTGTAAACAAGTGTCGCTTGTAATGCGAAGAAAAGGCAATGATTTTTGCCGTCAATGTTATTGATCTAAAAAACCCTGTGTTTTTTTTTTAATTTTCAATCTCCTACCTTAATCAAACATTGCTGATTAATTCGGTGATGTGTGGTAGCATTTTTACGACCTCCAACAATCCTTAGACGTTCAGGTAGATTTCTCATATCAAGTGTAGTTACTTTTACATCAAAGGGTTTTCCCCACAGTGTTGTTCCTTGTTGTTTTTTACTTTGACCAACTTTTAGGAACTGATTTAAAATGGAATCAACAGTGTTGTCATTAAGTTGTCTAATAGGAATCCACACAGCCGGATCGAGTAATTCGCTGCTAATAATACACCCTAAATGATCTGCCTCATAACCTTTCTCACGACTTTCTTCAATTGCTGAATCAATACAATAAGCGAATATACCAGCGAGAAGACCTTCGGGGTCTGCGGGAACATCCTTGATTTGGAATTTTGTGTGGCATTTAGTGTAGCGGAATTTTCTATTGTGAATAACTTGTTGTTCTAATTTTGTGATGTATTTTTCTGGATGTCCCTGGCCGGATTGCGGTAAATCAATTAAATTTGGTGAAGAAATAATTGAAGAAAGAATATTTTCAATAAAAAATGCGCGAGAGTTTTCGGAGGAAATTTTTGCACGTTTTGATGGTGGAGGACTCATTATTAATAATAGTGAAAATTAAGATATTAAAAATTGTTTCTAAATCTGTAAATATTTTATTAATTAAAAGGAAGAGAATAAAATTATCGATTTTTTAAAAATTTGTAAATTTTATGAAATTTGATGAATGAATTTTGAAAAATGATGGAAATTATTTATGAACGGGATAAAAAATAGATGGTATCTTAGGATAGGAAAAATGTAAGAGGAGCTGAGATTTTAGTATCATGAATCTTAATTTGTATGATCTTATTCCTATGGATAGATATCATTATTCAAATGGATAGATTATTCCTATGGATAGATGTAAATTTTTATAGATATATTAAAAGATTTGGGGAAGGAAAGAAAAATATGAGGAAATTCGTATAAGGCTTGAAGGAAAAAATATGAGGATTAATCCAGTTAAAAATTTTAGTAAAAGGATATTAATATTCAAATATTAAGGATAAGAATAGGAAGATTTATGAATTTTAAATTTAAAAAAAGAAGTAATTAATTTTAAACTTTAAAAAATATTTTTTTCCATTATTAATAAATAAAAATTAAAAAAAAAATAAAAATTGTCGAATAAATTTTCAAATGATGATGGTTCTTTGCAGAGAATACTTTTTCGATGTATGTTACCCTTATTTTCGACTTTATACTATTAGACCAAAGCCACGCCCTAAAAATGACCAATTATCGTAATGCTATTGGATGCGGCTGCATATCCTTTTACTATATGTCTAAATATTTCCTATGGTAATAAATGGAAGAGCAAAAAAAAATATTTAATCATTTTATCTACAAATTTTTTAACAAATAAATCTGGATTAGTTTCTCTGTCTAACATATTAATATATTCATTAAATGTACAATTTTGAGAAAGGAAAAATATAAAACATATACAGTGGTGGGCACATGTTTTGGCTAAGGGGGATTGGTAAGGTTTACAATTTCTAAGTATATATGGAAAATGACGTAGGAAATTATTAATTATACATCCATCTTTGGGTTTTTGAATATTAAAAAGGGTTAAGCTATCGAAATAATTAATTGGTCTTTCCTTTCCTTCTGCATATATTGCCACCCAGTGAGATCCTTCTAAATTTTGGGGGTCCAAGTTTAAAATAAATGCTGCAGGGTATTGTATTGAAGAGTAGTCGGGAAGTTGGTCACACGATAGACACCCTTTGAACACTTGATTCGTTTGTGGATTTGACTCCATTATTTTTGTAATCTGTATACTGTTCATCTAATATTTTAAGTTCTATTTCTTTATTTTCTTTTTTATTTTTTCTCGAAGGGATCGTATTCCCTAACCAAACAAATGAGCGTAATTGATAAATAATTAAACTAAGCACTAGCAAAGCATAAAGAAGGAGCATTACCCAACAATAGACATGGGTATAGTAATTTTCACTTGATGAGGGTGCATCCTTACATAACTGTATAGAGGGAAAATTAGCAAAGGGACCAATAGCAGATTTCCTCGGCAACGCCTGAGTTGTTGTTAAAATTATATGTCTGTCAGCTACTTGTCTTAAATATTCGGAATACTCTGGTAATTCTTTGATTTTAACCCCTTCTTCAACAGATAATCCACATATGGGTAGGAAAATTCTTAATATTAAAATAATAAAAGAAGCTTTTTTAAAAAACATTTTTATTTCTGTAATTAAAAAAAAAATACAATTTGAAAAAAAAGAGTGAATGAAAAGATAATAAAAGAAATGATAAATCAAATAGTTGTATCACTGGTAATCGTTCTATTCTTATCGAGCATTATAAGTGAGTCAGCTTCACCCATCACTATAAGCATTACCCCTCCCTCTGGAATTGGTCGGCTAAATTTTATATTAACAGCTGTTGTGCCATTTTTAATTAAATCAAAAAGTCCACTTTGATCCTCGCCACTATTTGTAAGGTCAAATACAAAGATGCAATGCGTGTAGGCATATTGCTCAAAAGTTATTCCGTTGCTTTCCAGGGAATTTGAAAAACCTATAGCCTCATTCATATCATTAAAAGCACGCGCGAATTTTCCATTGGGGAAATCCAAGTCATAGGGAGCCTGAGGGTAACTTCGACCATTTGCTATTATACTAATTTCTCTAATATTGAAGGATTGAAAATTAAAAGGACTTCTGTCGATAGCTCCCACATAGTCATTATTTGAGACTAACCCCAGTATAATTCTTCTAGGAATTTGATCCATAAATAAATTTGCATTGAACTCATAGCGACCTTGACTAATAAATAAGGGTTTCATCATTGTCTTCCTTATGGCATATCTTGCGGGCCTAATATCCAACTTTTTTGCTATATCGAGCGCTAACCCATCCATTATATCGACTTTCTTCACATATAGTTTACAGTTAGTTACTTCGAAACGGTAACGATTTGTTTGAGGTATTCCTGCTGCTGTTGGTGGTGCAATTAATACAAAACGTGAATCATTGGGGAGAATTTCTATATCTATCTCACAGTGGTTAATTAAATATAATGGCTGATTGAAAAGGTCTGCATCTATCTTTGCCATAAACTGTGCAGTATTGCTTGTCCCAAAACGTGCTTTCCTCGAATTAAATCCAATTCCTGCCTGTAAGTTTAATCCTGTGTCTCCATAATACCCCGCAACATTTAGATGGGAATTTTTTGCCGCTGTTGAAAAGCTTAATTCGTGTGAAAGGTAAGACTTGTAGGCCATTAACGAATTGGAGTTGAAAACTTCTCTTCCATTTATACTTATTCTCATATTATTAATAAATGTGTGACCAATTAATTGGATAGGGGCAACAATGTCGTTTTCGCTTAGATTTACCCATGTACCGTTTGCCCCTTCTTTTCTTATACGGAATTCAGTAAATAAGTAACATTTTGTGAGATCAATATAATTTTGACTAGAGTGTATTTTGAAGTGATATGGTGTATCGGTAAGGGGGTTACTTGGTAGAATTTCAAAAACTTTTGATGAAGAAATGCTCACATTTGTGGGAGGAATTTGAAAAAAGTCCAATGCATTTGTAATCGAATTAATACTATCTTTATCTATTTTGTGGTATGCCATTTGTAATCTTTTTAAATTTAATTAATAAAGTCCGAATGCGTCTGATCTGACTCGTTTTTTGTTAACTTTTCCAATAATGATTTTATGATTTGGCTGGGAATACTTTCTTTTATCTTTTATACTTTTTCTCGGACCACCGCCACTTCCAAATTGTTTTGGCATACCTCCTTTCTCAAGTAGTGTGTCTATCCCCTTCTTTCCCTCACTAGTTAGAGCATCTTTGATATTCTCTCCCTGGTTTACTCTTTCTAACACACGCTGCCCTGTGTTTAAAGCTTCAGCTGATACAGTAGTCCCCACACGACGAACAATAGGAAGAAAAAAGCGCCAAAGTCCTCGAAGAACATCGCCTATTCCCGCACCGCCTTGTAATCCATATCCTCTTTGAAAAGGGGAAGCTCCTTTGAAATAAGTATAAGTATTCTCTAAACCGTTCCCTTCTTGTGTATTTAAAGGTGATTGAATAAAATCATCATATCCTACTGTAGAAGTATCGAATAAAATATGAACCATTTTTATTAAATTAAATTTATGAAAAAAATGAATGAATACAATAAATGGATGGATTTTAAAAATTTATCACTTTCTTAAATATCAATACTATTAAAACTGTTCCGTATGCGAAAGGAACTAATCGTCCATTATCCAATGTTCTTAACTCGATCTCTATCTCATTAATCTCTCTAGGTAGGACACGGGCATATATGGGTGTATCATAAATCTTTTCGTTATATTCTCCGGGTGTTGCACCAGAAACAGAAACTACTCGCAGAAGAGAGCTGAGTGAATTACCAATAATCATATTCTCTGTAAGACCATTTGCATATACAGCAAAACTAGAAAATCCTCCCCTTAGATCAGATCCGTATTTTGCAACTTCCTTATTTTTAATATTTTGAGGGTTTTCAAATCCTAGAACATATCCTAATTGTGGTGACAAAGAAATGTGATCAATATTTTCATGATTAAATAAAAGTCTAAATCTTGCAAAATCTATGTTGTATTCAAAATTAATTGAGTCTATAATATTTTTGAGCAGGGTCAAATTTCCACTTAATCGTATACCACCCCTCCATAATAAAAATTTTGAACTATCACTGTAATTATTGTTATCGGACACATTTTCATTCCCTATGGAAAATTCAAACTCTTCCTCTTCTTTATTTGTTTTATTGTTTTCCTCTTCTTCAATTTCTGCTAATCCTAATGAGAAGAAGGGAGTAGTGATGACAGGTGTTACAATTGTTTTCTTAATTCTATCATTTTCTATTTTTTCTAATGATTTTGGTTCTGGATCTTTTCTATCTTTTTCAATTTTAGTAGGGGTTGATGTAGTAATGACCTTTTCACCTTTTGTTTGACTTTTCTCATTCTTTATTTCCACTTTCTGACCATCTGTTCTTAAAGGTTTTTGAGATGGGACATTTTCATTAGATTTTATTTTCCCCTCATTATTGGGTTGCGCAACATATTTTTCTTGTTTTGGTTGGTCTTGTGTCAATTTTATTTTTTTATTTCCTTCATTTAATATTTGAACATTTTTATCCACTAATTTTGGAGGGGAGGAAGGAACATTAACCTTTTGACTTTTATTTAATTCTTTTTTTGCATCTGCTATTCTTGGTGGAGAAGATAGCTAAAAAGTAATTAAAATATTTTTGAAAGAAGTAATTTAATACTTGACTCTCTTTTGGTAGTGGTGGTGGTGAAGAAAGAGCATTTCTTTTTATTCGTTTTTCTAATCTTGGAGGGGAAACAATTATATCTTTTGACGTGCTATCAGGATTGAAAACATGGTCTATTGCAGTAATTTGATGTTTAAGTGTCGAATTTAAAAAATCGCATAATTTTTGAACGTTGGTATGCGATGCCCCTGGGATTGGTATACGAAGAATATGCTTCTGTCCTAAATCGTCTGTGAAGTGTATTTTTAACCATTGCTCATCCAAAGTTCCAATAGTTGAGGGCCATGAATAAGGATAACTTATACTGTGTAATCCACACACCCAATTCCCATTAAAATAAAGTGGTTTTGGTAAATGTACACGGAATTTATTTGGTTTATTTGATGAATAATCTGGGACATTACTTGGTAAAAATACGAAAAAGCTATTTGACATTTTTATTAAATTTTGTTAAAAGGATACAATATGAAAAAATGATTTATCTTTTATACTAAATATGATTCGTGAATCCATTCTCTTTCTGGGTACCCAATAAATTTAACAAGTATATCATATGTTCCATCATCTCTTTTCTTTTTTCGGATAACTTTTTCTATGCGGTACTCTGTTGCTGCATCCTTTCTTACTCTAGACATTTCATCTTCATAAAAGGATCCTTTGAATTTTTCCCCTTTATCGTCGCGCAATTTATATAATATAGGATTCACATGATCTTTTACTTTTTCCACCTCTAATATTTCATCTCCCCAATTTGGTAGATAGCCTTTTTCGAAATGACCCTTGTCCCGACTAATTCTTACGTAATCATCCTTTTTAAATTTTGGTTTCTTGGAATTTTTAGTTGAAAAAATATTTCCATAAATTCTCTCCCATACTTTTTGAGCATTTTTAAAATTCACATCTATTGGACGCATTCCATGTACACGACAGTAAGATTTATTAATTCCTTCAATAATTTTTGGTAAAATATCAGTCCAATTAAGTTTGTGATTTTGAGAGAAATATCGGTAAAGTCTTTGTTTTAAGTTTCTAATAGCCCTTTCTGCCAGTGATGCCTTTACTGTAGAATGAGTTGCTTCATATTTTGATATTTCTTCTTTTTCAAAATATTCTTTTAGTAACCGATTTTTAAATTCAGTCCCTTTGTCAGAAAATATCCTTTGGGGTTTCATAGGCATTTGAGTAATAAGATTACGAAAAGCTTCCAACATGTCTTCTGATTTCTTTGATTTTAAAGGGGTAGTGAAGACTCGTTTGGACAATACATCTATTCCCAAAAGTATATATCGATTGCCTTTATTATGCCTAGAAAGAGACTGCATATCAGCTAAGTCAACTTGTACATCTGTCATAAACCCTGCTGCAATAGTTTTACTTCTTTTAAAGTTCACCCTCTTTTGGCGCATAAGGGTATAGGTACGGTGCCCCTCCAAATAATGTTTGATTACATTTCTTGGTATATGTTTAAATGTTTTCTTTGCCTCCCTCCATAAACTATCTACACCCGCATAAGCTGAAGGGGAATTAGGATCATTGTAAAGTCTGTCGAGAAGTTTTGTAAAGTCAGCCATTTTTAAAAATTACCAAAGAGTAGGTTTAAATTTATTAATATCCTCTTGTGTAGGCTTTTGTTTTGCCCATTTATTTTTTCCTAATTTGAATCTTGCAGCGGCTAATCTTTTAATCCAACTTTTTGATGCATTTTCTGATTGTTTCTTTGTAACAGGTCTTCTAACTCTTTTAAAGGGGATAAGGGTAGTTCCTTCAGGAATAACAAATTTTCTTTTAAGTTTTTGACGTCTTTTAATATAATCTTCCTTTCTAAATTGAGCTAAAACTGCTTGGTCTATAGGAACTCTATATTTTTTAATCTCTTTTTCTTTTTAATACTTTTTTTCTTCTCTCTTCTTGCGCAATCTCTTTTAGTCTTTCTTGCCTAGGATTACTATTTCTTCTACGTTTAAACACATCTGAGTCAGTCGAGTCTAATTCTCTCTTTGATACTTCTAGAGGTATAGGGGGAGAGGGACTTAATGGTGCATTTTGTGATTCTATAACAGATTTTGGCTCTACAATATCTTCATGTGGAGAAAATTTTTTATTTGTTTTTCTCTTTGGTTTCCGTTTCTTTTTTATTTCTCTTTTTATTTTAATTCTTTTACCATTATTTTTCAAATTTCTTTCTAATGCTTGATTTGATGTAGGAGGTCTTGGATCTAATTGTATATTTTGATCACTTTTAGTTGTTGAAGGAATGGAGGATGAAGAAAGAGAAGGGACAATATTGTATGCGTGATTAGGGGGTTCTTGGGGGTAATATGAAAAAGAATTATCACTAATCCAATTGTCGTCGTTGTCTATGTCATCATTTGCAGAAATATACGATGCGCGCCGGGAATTACTTTTAGGTACAATAGTGCCTTTAGATTTATTGTTAACTAGTTCAACTTTAACTGGTCTATTTTCGCGTTCATTTCTCAATTGTAAATATCGCCTCAACTCTTGATTATAGTGAACATTTTTAGAGGATTCACTTTCTTTTCTTCTTTTAGATCTTTCTAAAGCGCGACGAGTAAAATCTAGATTTGGTTCACCTACATCGCTTGTTGTAAGACCACGATAAATATCCTCCGGGACAAGAATAAATTTATTTGCCATATTTTTTTAAATTTTTATTTAAAATTTTTAAAATTAATAATGATAATATAAATGAATAGTTAATTTGTATCGGTATCACTTTTTATAATTTTTCTTCCAATTTCTATAAGTATAGGGGTAAGAAGAGCTGTAAGGACACCTCCTAACCCACTTCCTTTCTGCGAAATAATTTTTCTTGCTCCCCTCTCACTTCGAGCACGACTCATACGGCGGACAAATTCGGCATAGGGTAAAAGACGTTTCCTTTGGCGAGTAGTTAGTTGATAACGTGCTTTTACAATATTTAAACATATTTCTGCTATAGCAAGAAGTTGCTGACTGTTAGCCTGTTTAAGCATGCGATGACGTTTGCTATCCGATTTAGATCTTGCCAATAAATTTAAAAAGTCTTTATTATCCATAATAAGTGAACTAATATTGCACTGAGATTTAGACCCCATTTTTAGGAATGAAAATTATTTTTTCGCTGTCGTCTTTAAAAATATTTGTACGAAGACGTAATGTTGGATCTGAAGAAGCATGCATATCAATTAAAAGGTATCCATAAGGAATATTTGTAGCTTGCCTATAGGAATCGAGAAAATAATCTAACTTCTTGGGGAAAAGTTGAGCACCAATGTTTCTAACGGAAAGAACAGAGTTTGGAGAACGCATAATAATTATATACTGTACATTTTGCCGGGCAACTTTAATTTTCTTTTCAAATAAGTTTTGCGTTACAAATACTATAGAAAAATTCTGGTGGTGTGACTTTTTAGTAAATAATTCCGACAAATATTTTTCATCGATAGAGAGCAATAAATCATCGAGAATAACAAGTGAAGGTTTTGGAAGTCTTTTAATTACATCCTCGGGCGGCACACCAGCGAAAACACTTACACCAGATTTTTGAAGAACTGGAACAATGTTACTCATTTCACCAAAACAATAGAGAATACTTTTAGGAGGAGGATCGATTAAATCTAATGATTGGGTAATAAATCTTAGGAGAAAAGTACTCTTTCCACTGGAACTTAGTCCAGAAATAATAAGACCGAATGGAAGTTTAAATTTTAATTCTTTACTAGAGAAATTAATTGATTCCATTAAAATAAATAAATAATAGTAATACAAATAAATGATTTTTAAAAAGATTAGGATTTACAAATCAAGGAAGCGGTATATTATCTAAATTTACAATATGAGGGGACTTTCTATAACTTCTTTTTGTTGTTCTTTTGTAATTTTTTCTTCACTCTTTTCTTTTTCTATCGGAACAGTGGCTGTAGTAGGAGAAGTAGTAGTGGTACAGCCTATGTTGTCGAAAAATTCCTGAAGAATATTTTCAAATTCTTCATCCGCGGGAATTTCTTGCTTTATCTTCTTAGGCGAAGGCGGCTTTATTGGTGATACTTCAACTTCTTTTATCTCGGGCTGGATATTTTTAATAATAGGAGTCGCTGCACATGGTGGAGATCCATGTTCAATGTTGAAGATTCGACCCTTGTTCTTGATCTATAATTTTAAAAAATATAAATTTTCATATTAATAATAAATACCTTAAAAAAGCAGTGGCCTGGAAGATCATGGATGGTATCGAACGGTATGAACGTGGGTGTTTTAATTCGCGTACAATAACAAGTCACCCCCTCTTTGGTGACAACAAAGTCGAGTTCCACTTCAGATCCCTTGCATTCTCGACAACGTCCGGCATGGTCAAAAGGCACAAAACGTGGAGTAGAAATACGCTCAGAAGCAGAAATTGTTAGACCGTTAGCAGTAATATTAAATTCTATTTCGGGGAGAATTAATCCTATGAGAGCTTTTTTGTTGGACATATTGATTGCCATTATTTTTTGTAAAAATTTTAAGAATGATTTTAGAAAATGGTAGGAAATTTAATTTAACCTTAAAAATTTTAATTTTTAAAATTTTTAATTTAAAAAGTTCGGAAAAAAAAAAAAGCCACGCCCCTTTTTTCCAGGGTTTCAATGTATATGAATGGATAAAGGAAAATGGGCGGTCGAGAAAATCTCCTTTGAATATGAGAATGGCTATATATGGTCATGCACCTTCCTTACATTCATTTGGAAATATTCGAGAAAGGAGAGATATTTCTCCTTCCATAAAATTTTTTATAAAAATAGGAATTAATTTTATAAGAATAATATTTTAAATTTATTATTTTAATTTTATTTCAATAATTTATCAAATTATTATTATTTCAATATTTTTAATTTACTGTTTTAATTTTAATAATTTTTAAAATTAGTTTATAATATTATTTTTATTTTTTGTTTATTTATAGCAATTCATTTTATTTTCAGTTTTTTCTAACCTTTTTTAACAATGAAACAAAAAAAAATAACTACTTTCTTTAAACCGAAAAAAGTAAGCTCCAAAAATCCAAGAAAATAATTTAAAAATTAAATTTAGGCTGACAAAGCTTCCCAAACATATCAGCCACATTTTTTTGCGTATATAGAGAAGTACCCATTTTTTCTCACGTCTCCAAACCCTTATGAATTAGAAAATTTCGGCGTAGTGCAAAATGCCTTAACAGGCAAATTTTATATTTCGGAACGTGATCGACTTCCAGAAGTAATATTTATATCTATTTATAAGTATATTTATTAATTTATTAGGAATTTTGGATGCGTGTTACAAAGGATAGATTAATGGACATGGTAAATGCTGTGAAAAATATGAAATGTATGAATGAAAAGGGAGAAATTTATCCGTTTTTGAAAAAATTAGAGCCTGAAAACGAAATGCAACCATTTTGGAAATATGAAAATGTGCGAGTTGAGATGATGGATGTTTCCTCGATTGAAGTATATATTTTAAATAAAAACAAAATATTATTTATAAATTTAAAGAGTTCAACATTAACAGAAGAAACAACAACACCAACATGGTTTTCACCAGTCTATACTTCAACACCGCGTGATTCGCCGGTGTCAATTATTAATTCATCACCAGCACTACTCGCTGAGCCATATTTGGCAGATTACCTGAATGAGGATGAATCATTCTTCTGAATTGAGTTGAGGTAGATAAAAATCCTAACAAAAAGTTTTTGTCTGTCTTAAAATATTGAACCCTTTTGTAGAATTTTAAAATTTTAAAAAGAAAATTGAAAAAAAGGGTTCAAAAAAACTTAATCCTATGTTCCGAACTAAATGTATTTTTAAATAAAAATCCTCATCATTTATTTAATTATTTATTTTTAAAATAATTTTTGAAAAAAACATTTAATTTTTAAAATATTTTTGAAAAAATATTTAATTTATCCTTAAAAATTCAAACATTTTCCAATTCTTTATTTTCATTTTCCTTCACACTTTCTTTTTCTCCCATATTCTTCATTTCAATTTCATGAACCTCCACTCGTTGTTTTGTAACAAGGCAGTGGAGAGGTAATGGGGGACCAATGTCATCTTTTTTGATAGGTCGACGGACTAAAAAATTGAATTTTTACATTTGTTTATTTTTTATATATTTATTACCTCTTCGTGTGTGAACGCGGAGATCTGGGGCAAAAATCCGTTCCTCCCTTCGACGTCTATGTTGTTCAGCTTTCCGTCCATTGAGATAACGTTCCACAGCCCAAGCACCAAACAAACATAACTAAATTTTAATAAAATATTATTTTTAATTTAGGATATATAAAAAATAGTTTTACGACCTGGGTCCCCAAAATAGCGAACAAAATAATATAAATGAAATAAATAGAACAATTAAATTCAACAGGTCGCTCAAGAAATTTTAAAATATTTGGGATAGAGCTGTGGGCGCAGATTATGGGTTTGCTGTAGAGTTCTGGTCTATAGCAATTATTTTCAGCTATAGGACAAGAACAATTGGAAACAGGGACCCAAGTTTGGTTAGAGGGGAAATTTTCCATTTTTTTTGGTAAGAGTGATATATGAAGAAAAGTTGTTACCGAAAAGTTTGGACTGTTTATATATCCACTAGAAATTGACACATATTTCTCAGAATAAACAATTGAACAAATTTACCCTTTAATGAACTTTCTTTCCGCTATAAAATAACAAAAATTTGTATAAATAAACACGTGTTAACCCTTAAAATTTATTTTTAGCTTGTTGCCGCACAAAAATAAAGAAATTATTAATTGTCCTATTAACAATCAAAATTTTTTTTATTTTATTTCTTTTTACATGTTTTGCCGCATTAAAGTTAAAAGTTATTATCCTTGTTAGCACTTGCAGACTTATTATTCCCATATTTCAGTAATTTAAAGAAAAATAAAATGACCCATTATTATAGATTGCGGTAATAACAAAAAGACTGAAGAATAAAAGAAAAAGTTTTGATAAATTATACTTATATAAAAATATTTAAATTAAAATTAATTTTTGAAGGCACTAATTTTGCGCGAAAATCAGCGTCGCGGGCAAACAATTTGTAAATAATTATGTTATTTTTTTGTCGGCAACTTCAAAGGGATAAAATTTGACGTAATTACAAATTGCGTCAAGATCAAAGGTCAAAACAACCGTTTAATAGGCTTTAATTGACCGGCTGGTAACAATTTACCCCCAAAAGGAAAAGGGTCAGTTATTCACACCCGCGACGGTGGGGTCGGGATAACTACTAATAATGTCCAAAAAATTGAATTGTTTATCCACTTTTTCTCATACATAAATTACCAAAAAAAGATCATTCCATAAGAGTAGCTGGAGGAGCAGGGCCATATTCTTCTTGTTCTTCCTGTTAAATAAAAATGACGAGTTAAATGTTATAAAAGCGTTAAACCGCATCCTAAAGCATTCTTAAATTATACAAACTACTACAGTCGAACCTTACTATAAGGTACAAGATACCCCTAAATATATTGGGTTGTAACATAATTAATGATCGTTTTTCTTTAACGCGTTATAGAATCATTTAAGATTATCAAATATTGCTTTATTTATTCTTGTTTTATTGCTCTATTTCTGCTCTTTAATTTGATACCAAATTTGACCGTTTTTAGACGAATTTAGAAAAGTTATTCTATTTTAAATGGAGCTAGGTCGAGAGGTGATTTTCAAGCTTTTCCGGTTTTAATTCGGATATAGTGTAAGACGCGACATGTAGGACGTGACATATGTCATTCGATTCGGCTCGACGAGCTGAATCTAACGGCTGAATCTAACGGTACCACTCTCTACTTCGGAAAATGATTCTGGACCGAGTTATAGGTCCCGAAAAATATAGGGGCAATTTTTTGGAATAAAAAAAAGCTGATACAAATAATAGCTCATTCGAAAGAGCTCCTCGAGCTGAGTCGAATGACACAAAAATTAGTTTGATTGAACAAGCTTGAGTCGAAACATGCCACGTTAACTCACGCCTCCACAAAGACAAAAAAGGGCGCGAGCACAAAAAACCCGCGAGCACATCCAAAACGACCTCAACTGGGACTTCTTACCTCGTTCGGGCTATTCACCTGACTTGGCACTTTCTGATTTCTATGCATTCCGGTCGCAGAAGAACTTCCTCAGAGACTAGCAATTCAAAAATGATGAACAGCTCAAAAAAGAGGTAGGTCAATGGATTGCTTCAAAACTCGGCACAGACTTTTGGGAGAGAGGAATTCGAAGGTTGAGGAAGTGCTAGAGACTTGTAGTGTTGCAACAAGGAGATTATATCATCGATTCAATTTGTTTTTTGTTTATTTATTGCGTTTTGTAAATTGAGAAAAAACGATCATTAATTATGTTACAACCCAATACATCTAAAAATGAGGGTCGACTGTACTTTCTTAGAATTTGTCAAGCTATTTTTAATTTTATTATAAAAAAATACATCTTTCACGCGTTTAATCTGCACAGCATCATCATTTTCGACCTCGCCATTATTTGGTAAACGCTTTCGATTCTAAAAAGGCAGTTAATATATTTAAAAATTAAGAATATTTGTGCAAACCTTAACATCAGTTCCATTATCTTCAGCGTTGTTATCATCGCTCTCTTCTTTGACTGGATGCCAATTGTTCACATGATTATTAGATTCAGAATTATCCGTTGCTGGTGTATTTTCATCTACTGATCTTTTACTTGTAGTATCTTCATCTTGAACTTCTTCTTTGGACTTCATATCAACATTCGATTCTACTGATTCTCGACTCTCTTCTTCTTCGTCCTTGGTTATTTTATTGGCTGGAGTCAAATCCCTCTCTTCACTGCGAGAACGACCACGGCTTCTAGAACGCTCCTCACGGCTCTTAGAACGTTCACGGCTTCGAGAACGATCACGGCTGCGAGAGCGGTCATTTTCTGCTGTGCGACTGCGTGAGTGTCTGCTTCGATCATGTTTAGTAGTTTCAGATTTGGTGCGGTGTTTGTTTGGAGTTACATCCCTTTCATAACTGCGAGATCGATCACGGCTTCGAGAACGTTCACGGTCACTTTCCGGAGTCCGGCTGCGCCTACGTCGAGAACGTTCGTAACTGCGCGAACGGCTCCGAGAGTATCGACGGCGACTTCGAGAGTAGGAACGACGTCGAGATCGAGAACGCGATCGAGAATATCCACGTCGACGAGAGCTCCAAGTATCACCACTTCGCCACGGCTTACTTTTTGCAATTTCAACGACAACTCTAAAATTAATTTTAAAATTTGTTGGTTATGAAAATTAACCTCATTCCCAAAATAGAACGACCATTTAATTCGTACACAGCATCATCCGCATCCCTTGGATCATCCAATTCAACAAAAGCATAACCCCGCTAAAAATTATGTAAGAATTAAATGAAGTTTTGTAAATAATTTACCTTAATAAGTATATCTCTAATTCGTCCATAACCTTTAAAGAAGCGTTCTACATCCCTCTCTCTAGCCTCATAAGGAATATGCCCAACCTGAATTATTTAATGTAAAATTGAACAGAAAAATTTTAAAACTTACATAAACACGAGAATTGCTCATTTAACAAAACGTTCAATTCGAAATTAGAATAATATTAAGCTAAAATAGGTTTCTGTAATATCAAAAACTGAAATATCAAGAAACTTAAAGATAATGGATTGGATTAAAGCGGATTTATGGAAAAGTTTTTGTGCCAAAGACGAAAAAAATGTGCCAAAAGGCGGGTTTTTAAAAACACGTTTTTTGTGTGAGGGACGTTTTGCCGCAGCACTAGTCGCTGAAACATTTCAGGGCTATTTTTAAACTCGAACAATCAGATCATTTTACGGTAAAAAACTTAGTGCGGAATGAACTGATTGGAATAACTTTGTAAAAGAATCAATAAAAGAATGTAAAAGAATAAAATCAGTAAAAGTATCAAATCAAAAGAATCAAGATTTATTTTTCAACTTCATATTTATATAATTAGTAAAAACAATGAAAAAGTAGAAAAATGTCACAACAATATGGATTGTGGTGATTAAAGATATTAAAATTAATGCAGGTCAGATCCGCTAACTTCAAGGGGATATAGCTTTATTTAAAGATTAAATGAAATTCAAAAATCTGTTGTAAACTATGTCGATAACCTGATATTTTTGGCCCAAAGTAAAAAATGTGAATCTAACTTATGTTAAACTACCAATAACTATCATAAACCTTTCCTGCATTAACCAAAAATAAAATCAAACTCATAATATAAATTAATGATCAAAAACAAAGTCTCCACTTCTCTTTTCATTCAATTAACGTCTACCACGGCTTCCACCACGCGCTCCACGAGTGCCTCCTCTACCACGTCCGCCACCACGGCCACGTCCCGATCCAAAACGACGCTGAGATGGCTTCTTTCGTGGCTCATCATCAACAAGTAAAGTATCAAGTGGAAGTGAGTCCGGCAATTGAATATAGCGAATATTATTCCCTGAAAATCATAAATTTTAATTTGTGCAAAATATATTTTTTGAATAAAAAATCAGGATAATCAAATTTGGGTACTTATGAAGATGGAGGTGCCCTTCTTGCGGACTTTTTTTGCGGACTTTTCTCCCTTATTTAAATGTTTTACTTGTAGCAACTAACTGTCAACGCCACTCCTCCATTATTTTTCTTACCTAAGATTGTACATAATGGTCAGACTTTCTTTTTCCTCTCCTTCCTTCTATTTGCCCTGTGACATATTCAAACAAGAGACATTGATAAAGAGAAGATTAGTTTTATAGTCATACACTTATTTTTTGCCTTTGAAAACAATTTAAACAAAAAAAAGCATTAAATAAAATTGATTTGGTGTATACATAACATTAAGAATTTCTGTGTAAAAACATTACATTCTTACTTATATTTAAAAATATTGAACAACTGAAAAAATAAATTGAACTCAATATTGAACAACTCAATTAAAAATATTGAACAACTTAATTAATTCTAATCTTCTCTTTATTAATGTCTATTGTCTGAATATCCACAACACAAATAGAGGAAAGAGAGAAAAAGACGCAAATTTGACCATTTTGTAAAATCTTAGGTAATAAAAATAATGGAGGGGGGGGCAATGTTTAAAAGTACCCGCATTTCTGTTCCACAATCACATGTTCTTTTTCTGTGAAGCATTCCGTGATCATTGTTGAAATTTAACATCGGGTAATTGAATTTTTATCATACAATTTAGTTAAAGTAAAATTTTTTATTGATTGTAACATTTTGCGGTCATAATGTTTAAATTAATGGTGAACACATTTTTCAAACTGACATAAAAATTAATCCTTTGACAGTTAGTTGCTACAAGCAAAACTCTCTCAAGCAAAACAACCGAAACTTTAAAAAATACATTTATAAGAAAGGAAGAAAAGTCCGCAAAAAAAGTCCGCAGAAAGGGCACCTCCATCTTCATAAGTACCCAAATTTGGTACTGATTAATTCTTGAGTTTATCCTTTCCGCATCAAGGAAAGATAGAATAACTAATTTTAATTTATCCCAACACTATTAATTGATCGGCTGGCTAAAAGCAAAAAATAGGGAAAGGAAAAGTCAAAAATGTCCACAGAAATGATTAAGGATACGCCACAATTATCCTTCCTTTTTTGCGCCTCAGACGAAATTTTGTAGCGCTTGAAGAATTTAAGCTTCTAAATGAAAAGCGGCCGAACAACTCTCTATGAATAAATATTAACCGAATTGAATTGATCATCACACAATTTTATTAAGAGAAACCTCGTATGGAAAGCGTATCAAGTTGCATTTGTTCACGTCCGCGTATAGTCATCTTCACAGAACGTAAATGCATATTCATAGCAACATCAACGCCTTGAATTGCTCCTGTAACTTGAGTTCCATTCTTTAATTCGATAGTAACCGTCTCATGCGAGAGCTTCATCAAAAAACGGACTAATTTCATGATTTGGTGTAAAGAATATTTAAATATAGTTGTCTGCAAAAATAAAAAAATATATAAGAAATTTACTATTCTGAAACTCTAAACAACTGCAAAAAAAGGGGAAAAAATTACTCAAGTAGACAAAAACTCTTAGGAGTTTTGAAAAAAACAGAGACTGGGAGGACCGGAAATTAAGCTTGAAGGAAGCAGGGAAGGATATGGGACCATAAAAAATTCCCAGTTTCAATTTTTCCGGTCCAAAAATTGCCAGGACCCCACTGTAAAACCGGGAACCAATCGAGAAAATGGTACAGCCCAAAACAACGCGGGGCCTTAACAACGCAAAGCCATAACTAGCTGGAAATTTTCTGGCCACAATTTTGGTACCAATATCCTTAGCTCGATAAGAGGAATCGTTTAATACTAAATTTGTTAAGATTTGGAAGTCTTGAAGCAAGTTATGGCTTTGCGTTGTTAAGGCCCCGCGCTGTTTTGGTCGTGTCCCCGAGAAGACTCAATCGTCATCTTCAAAAATCAATTGAAAGACTCAATTATTCCTTTCTTCCTTTTTTAACTTCCGCCATTAAATCTCTGTTTCTGTGCCTTTCTCACTTTCAATTTTTACGATTGTTTCAGATTTTAGAATTCATTTTTAAATATTTATTTATTTACAACTTTTCGTAAAAGCAGTCATTTTTAATTTAGTAAAGTTGGCGACACATGTTTTCGTTGAGCGTTCGAGACTAGTTGTTTAAGCTAAACATTTCAATAATTTATTGCGATTATTTTTTGAATGATTTTATTTATCTGTTCATACACTCCAGAATTTATTATTAAATTTTGTCTCGTGCTTTCTTGACATTTTCTTAATCGTATTTTAAATTAGAAATTTGATTTTTCTGTGTTGCAGAACATCGGTCTCTGAAATTAATAGCGGAAAAACTTTTTTTGTCCATTTTTTCACAGTATTAGGTTTCTGTTTATGCTATTATTCATACTTTTCAAACCGAAATCTTTCTTTACAATTTGTTTTTTTAATCTTATATTTTATAGAATACAACTTTCCTACTTCATCTCAAAAAATTCTAAAAATGAGCAAAGAACAAGCTGTTCAGGAAGTTCAAGAAGTCGAACAAATTGATAAGGCGTCTGAGGAAAAGGTTTCGACTCCAGCCAAGCAACCGGCTTCGGCAGATGCTCCAAAGCCTGATGTTGGTGAAGAAAGCCGTGATTCGGTAGTTTCGTCTGTGGACAACGGTGTCTCTGAAGAAGATCAGGATGAAGGTAGTCAAAAGAGTGCGGATGATGAAAAGCCGGATGAGGTCACCACTGAGGACGCTTCGAAGGTTATTTTTTATGCAATTTTTCTTTTGTATATTCTGTTTTTATAGCATCTTTCTTCTGACAATGGGGTTGCCGATCGGTCTGTCAAGGGAAATGGTCATTCGGCTGAAGAGAAAAGTGACGTCGTCACTGAAGTTGTGGCTGAACTTAATGGAAATGATGCTAAGGTTGGTGTATTTGTATTCACTTCTTTATTTATATTTTGATTTTTGTTTAGAACCGTAAACGTTCTGGACCAGGCGATGATTTAACGCACGAGGAAGATCAGCTTCAGCAGAAGAAGAAGCGCGTGGAAGATGTAAGTTTTAAATTAAAATATTTTTGTAGAACATTGTTTTCGGATTTTCTTCTTTTATCCTTGATAGAGGGCCCACGGCTTCTGTTGGGAACGTGTTCTTTTTCTTACAAAGTGTTTTAGCCAAGTCGTCTCTTAGTCCCAACTAAAATTTAACGTTTTACAATTAAATTATTTTTTAATTTTAACAGGGTGAGCAAGAAGAGAAGGAAGTTCAGGCTGTTGCAACGGAATGAGTTTTTTGATTGTTAAATGATTGGATGAAAAACAAATCAATTTCATTGCCCATACTCTTTTTTTGGTTTTATGAATGGTTACAAGATAATACAGTCGCAATTACTCTCACAACAGTATTTTTAAGCACATGGTTTTTGAATAATTTTTTGGGTTAAGTAAAGGAATTAAATATTTTTTGTTTCTGAAAATGAGTTTAATATTTTTTAACATTTAAAAATCAAGTAAAAAACCGGTGCAATTATTTTTGCAATTTTCCAATATTTTGCTCCTATCTATTATTTTTGTTATTTTAAATGATTACCACACGGGAAAGCACTCAATTACCCCAAACTTTGGGAGCAGGCCAGTCTACCGAAAAAATGTCCTGGAAAATGTTTTAATGATTTTGCATTTGATCTGACTTTTGAGCCTAGTTATAAGCCTTTTAATAGACTGGCTTGTGATAGATCGGCGTGTTCCCTCAACATTTATTGTTAGCATATGGTCGAGAAAATTAATTTTTTTAAATTCATACAAAATCAAGTTCGCAAAAATTATATTTTCTTGACTATTTGCTCTTATAAACCAACCAACCTATACAATATTGTTCTCATAATACTTGAATGATTTGTTGATCTATTATACTCTACTGCGTTTATTTGTTGAACAAAATGGCAATTTTTTTTTAAATCTTTCTCTGTTTGCACTGATAAATTTGTTATTTCCTTTGGTTTTAGTTTTAAATATTTGTTTTGGATCAAGTAATTATTGAATGTTTGAAGGAGTGATTTTTAGAGTTTAATTTTTTATCATTTATTTTTAAATTAGGATTCTTATTGATTTTTTTTATCAAATTTATATTTAAAAATATGCCTGCGTTGGGTGAAGCACGTGAGTTTAATCTATAATTTTTTGTTTTTTGAAAATCTATGGGGAAAAGTATAAGTACCTATTTTTTAAATAAAAATTTAAGTTAAACGACGCAAGTTTATACCAAAAACAAAAGGAATTGAGGAACTTATTCAAGAACAACAACAAATAAATCATGGTCCTGTAATAAATGCAAAATTGCCTGTTAGAATTATTGGGGGTGATGGAAATGGGGGAAGTCATATAATAAGGTTAGAATTTTAAAGTTTTGTAAACTTATTTTTTTAGATCTTTTAATGATGTTAAAATTAATGCGGAACTTCGTAATACTTTAAATTCAATTAATTATTTTGAGCCTACTGATGTGCAGAAGTGTGTTATTCCTCTCATTCAAAACACTACAAGTTTGTTTTTATTTTTAAATAATTTAAATATAAAATTTGGATATCGTTTAGAAAGTTCATTTATAGCCCACGAGTCAAAATAGTTCTTTTAGTTTGTGCGAAGGTGTTTAGACTTTCGAAAATCTACTGCTTTATTAACGTATAGGTTCGGAACGTGTCGTAAAGAAACGCTAAGTTTTTCTTTTTTCAGAGTTTTGTTTTTGTTTAACAAAAAATTCTTACAATAGAAGATAATTTTGTTTCTTTAGATGACATTCTTTGCCTTGCCGCAACTGGTAGTGGAAAATCTGGATCTTTTTTGATTCCTATTATTAATCGGTTGCAAAAAGATAAACTTAGTTCTGGATTTTGTCGTTCTGACACTTTAAACAATTCTTCTCCTGTAGCTATAATCGTTGCTCACACTAAGGAATTGGTTGAACAACTCTACAAATTTGCTAAAACATTGGCTTATGGTTTTAATTTTTAAATATTTTTATTAAAATATATTTTTAAGGTACTCAAGTTGGTGTTGCATATGCAAGGGGTCAAATGCCTTTTGAAGAAGGTAGAAAGCAATTAGCAAATGGGTGTGATATTCTTGTTATTACGCCTGGACGTTTACAGCATTATTTAAATGACGGGTGGATTTTTGTGGATGGGACTCAGTTTGTCGTTATAGATGAAGCTGACAAGTTTATTGTGGTTAGTTTTTAAATATAAAATTGATTAAACGAAATACTTAGGTTTTTATATTTTCCGAAATATCGGTGGATTTAAAATCTAAATTTCTTCCCATGCGCCCATACCTATGACGCGAAAAATTTTTCTGATAAATCCAATCTAATTTTCTCAAACTAAAATTTATTTGTCACAGTTTCTAATTATAAATTCTTTTTAGAATAAATATAAAAAAATTTTCTTTTTAAGGAAGAGAGCTTTTCTTCATTACTTCATGAATTATTTAATCGAATGCGCAAACAAAATGTTAACTGCCTTTTAATTTTTTTGTATTTTTTTAATTTTTAGAATTTTCTTTTCCGAACTTTTATGTTCAGTGCAACCATTACAGACGTTGCAGATTATGTTATTAATGATTTTCTAAAGAAGGATTGTTATAAAGTAATTGTTGGTAAACCTAATCAAGCTGTTTCTCATGTTCATCAAAGAGTTTTGAAAGTAGATCTTGATAAATATGGATATGCGGCAAAGTTTGAAATGGCCAGAATTATTTTACGAAAAATATCAACTTATGAAGAACCAAAAAATGGAGGTTTGTATTTTGTACTGTTTTTGGTTTAAATTTTAATTGTTGAGTCCCTGAATTTTCGTCTTACTTAGGAACCTTCATCGACAGATTTTTAGAGCCTTCGTTTAAATTTCCGTAACTGTAAATATTCACTTTGGATTCTATGGTTAGTTGTTCCTGGCTTAATCATTCAAAGCATGACATTGAGCAATGTTTTTGTAGGATATAAAGATACCTAATGGATATATGATATATAGTGACTTAAAATTTCTGGCACCTTTTTATTCTGTATTCTCTCTTTTAAAATATTGTTCTTATAGAACATTTTTGTTACAATACTCAACGTACATTAATTTTTCTTAATGATGCTCGTTCTTGTGAGCGTTTAGCAATTAAACTTAGTGATCACGGTTACCGTGCAATGAGTACTAGTAGTCACCGTGAAATGGAGCAACGTTACAGAGCAGTAAATGATTTTAAAGAAGGAAAATGGCATATTCTTATTGGGACTGATATTATTGCTAGAGGAATGAATTTTCCAAAAGTTAAAAATATTGTAAGTTTTCTCTAAATTAATTTTATATTTTTGTCTAGTTTTGAAACAAATTAGATTAATCTATTAGGGTTTGTGAATTTCTCGAGTTTACTCTTGGTCAAGTTTTTATATAATAACGAATAATGGCGATTGTACAGGGTGTTTCACCAGAAAAGCCCTTTTTGAAAAATCAGTAACTTTTTTCTATTCGTCGGATTTTTACGATATTGGGTATTTTTAGCTATAAACAATAAGGTTTTTTTGACATAAAAATTATGTCGAAAATTATGGAAATAATCAAGATTATAACTTTTTAATTCTAACTATTTTTTCCTTTTGTTATAATAAAATTTAGATAATTTACGAATTACCGCCTATTCATCGTTATCAAGAATATGTACATAGAGTTGGGCGTACTGGCCGCATAGGAACAGAAGATGGATGTGCTTATATATTTTTTGATCCAAGATCTCGAAATGATGAAATGCAGGCAGAATTTTTAATTGAGGTAAAAAAAAGTTTTTGAAAATTTAATTTTTTGAAAAGGAGTTTTTACTAGATTTTTTACCTCACTTTAGATACCCCCTTGGAGCTGAACAGTCATGCCTTTTAATTAGGTGTATCTTAAATATGAGTTATCTCTAATAAACTCCCACAACAAGTCCCGGAATATGAAAATGTGTTACCGATGTTGGGGCATTTTAACAGTATTTAGATTTTATTTTTTGGTTAATCATAAAAAACTTTGAATCATTCTTTAAGCGCCTTGAAGAGATTAATTTAAAAATTATGATTGGATCCCTTATTTTAATTTTTTTAATTTTCTAAACTTTATAATTTTTCAACTTTAGCAACTTGAAAATTCCAAACAACAAGTCCCGGAATTTTTGAGAGAATTACAAAAAAGTATATCAGATGCTCGAAGTAGATATACAAATGAATGTTCTTCTACAAATCAAAATTCAATTGAAGAACAATTAGAAGATAAAGCAGAGTTGGAAATTGAAAATATTACGGATAAATTTGCAAATAGTCATTGGTCTCGTTAAAAGGAATTCTTTTAGTGTAATTATTTTTTAGTAAATTAAAAAAGAAGATCTAATTATAGTAATTATATTGACCTTATATTAAATGAAGGGGAGCCTTGACTTTATAAAAACATAAATGGAAAGGATTATTATTCCGCCTGACAATGGAATTAGAACCAAAATTTTTGGTTCCCGGAAAAAGCCGGAACTTCCGGTTGGATGTTGATAAGCAAGGAATTTAAAGCAAATCTATAGTTTTTTTAATTTAAAAAAGTCAAAGTGTCATTCATTTAATATAAGACATAAGTCTTTCCTGTTTCTTTTTAGACTATTTATTTCCCAATATTTTAGTTTTTTGTTTGTTTTTTAATACTCGAACATTATTTTTGTTCATTTTTATTGTAAGAATGTGTATCTCATTTTAATTTATGTATACTTAAAATTAAATTATTTTTTTTTCGTTTTAATTTAAAAAATTTTTCTTCAAATTTATTGTTTTAATTTAAAAATTTTAAAATTTCTCATATTTATAAAAATGTTTTTTTCTAAGTATTTTTTCTTCATTTAAATACCAAAAGCAAGTAAATATATGGAATTTTTTATTCTCTTATTTTAAACAAATGTATCGCTAATTTCTTACAAATTTCTTCGAAACAACGTGTGTGTCTAGCTTTTTTGACATAAAAATTAAAAAACTAAAAGCATCAATTAAGATTAGAAAAGAGAGACTGATTTTTGATTATTTTTAAATTTATTTTAAATGAGTTTTTTCTTATTTTTATCTACTTTTTGCATAAAGTTTTATTGGAATTTTTATTAAAAATAGGATCGGATTCAACACCCCCAAACATTTAATAAAAATCAAAATAATTTTTTCTAATTAATTTTCTCTTTTTTATATCTAAAAAGCTTAAAAAGTTTATTTTACCTTTTTGTTATAAAATATTCTTGACTAAATAAATTAATTAAATACCAATAATGTGTTTGCTTTTCATGCATAATTTAATTAACTTTGGGAAAAAAGTTTTAAAAAAATATTTTTTTAATGAGAGAGAAATTAAAAGAGAAAGGTTGGAGGTGAATTACAAAAACTTTTCTCTCTCTCCCTTCCCTCTCCCCTCTCTCCCTTCAATAGATCGACATAAAATGCCAATCCAACTCCTTCCAAACAATCCTTCCCCAATTTTTATTAATTTTCTCAATTAATTTAAACTCCTTGACAACGTCTTAAACAAACAAATTGAAAATGGTGAGAGTTTTGTGGACCTTTTTTGGAAAGAATTGTTTTAATATACGCATAAAAAAGAACACGCATTCTAACAAACTTTCCCCAAAATGTCGATTACTTTTTTAATTTAATTTTGATATTTTTATTGGTGATATTTTGGGTAAAGCTCTCAAGTCTTTTGGCACCTTTTAATAATAATTTCCTTTTGGCACTCCTCCCCTTTTTCCGCTTTTTTTCTTTTTTTTCCCTTTGTCCTTCACCGACAACTACATTCCACCACCTCCAACTTACTCTATTACTAAAACATTCATGGACAAATTTTCTTAACAAAATATATTTGCGCGTATATTTAATAATACAAAAATAAAGTTGTCTTATATTAATTATTAAATTGGATTGGATCACAACTGGAATGATGTAGTGATCCATTTATTTAGCCTCTTAAAATAACAAACTTTTAATGCCGATCCCTGACTAAAATTTTTCTTCTGTCCCTTTAAATTTGTTATATCGAGATTTAACTTTACATATGGGGAAAAATAAGAAAAGAGAGGATGTGTGGATTACCTATATTATCTATAATTATAATATTTTTCCAATTTATATGTAATTTAGAAATCTCTCATAAGTTTTATCCTTTCAATCTTATAGTAGTACAGTCAAATCTTGTTTTAGTGCTTAATTCAATTGAAATTATCCTCAAAAGACACTAAAATATTTATAATTAAAAATTAACGAAGAATTAATATTTTTAAATATTTTCTGTTGTTAATTAGGAATTGATTTCAAAAAAATTTTTTAATTCCAAGTGTAAACTAAAAAAATTTCTTTAATTTATTTTTCCATTACAACAATCTATTTATACATATTTTTAAAAAATCTGTTGACAAACATTGAATGATCAAAAAAAAGTTTTAAAGTAAAAAGGGGATTAGCAACATTTTAATTTAAAAAGAAAAAAGGAAAACAAAAATTTTAATCCAATTTTTGCTTTTTCTTTTTTTCTTCTTTACAAAACACATTTAGTAAATTAATTTTTTTGATTATTTGTTCAATAATCTTTTAACTCAAAAATCTGTTGGAGATTGATTTAATTTTTGTTTAATTTATTTAAAGAATATACTAACATTAAGTACATTTCCTCGATATTTTTAATTAATTTTGAAAAAGGAAGAGATTTAAACAACTTTTTTGTTTATCCCCCCTAAGTTTTGATTTTATATGTAGATATTTTTTTAATTAAAAAAAATATTTAGGTATTTTTTTTCCTTTTAATAAAAACAAACAAATACTCCACTATTTACACTAATTAACTGACACATTTCCGTTAATTTTCAAAAAAAAATTAAGAAATAAATTTTGTTTTTTTTTTAAATTTTCTTTTCAAGTATATTTAAATAAATAAATAATTTATTTATGGAATATTTAGTCTTCAAATAGTATTGAAATAAAAGAACGAAAAGTTATGGAACCAAGGTAAATTTTGAAAGAAAAAAGTAAATTTATACTTAAAAATTTACAAAAGTTATTCGTCTTTCGGTCATAACCCTTACAATATTCCCTATAATGAGGCAAATTTGACAGCATTTCAAGATGATGGAATTTGGCTTATTTCTTGTAGTTTTTCTATTTGGACAATGGTTTCGGGTAGAAAAGAGAGATTTTTTTGAAATTTAAAATAAAAATAAAGGTTTTGGATTACTGGAAAGTGGACGAGTTTCGTCTAAAGATGAAGTAAATATAATGGTTAAAAATATTGTTGATGTTGTTTTTGGTGGTCTTTCTTATTGGATGTTTGGTTTTGGTAAGAGAAAATGTTTAAAATAAAAATTGTTTTTTTAATTTTCAGGTTTTACTTATGGAAAAGACTTCCCAAATCCTTATATTGGTAAATTAATTTTTGGGGAATTTTAGAAAAATTTTTCTGGAAAAATTGTGGGGAGGGGTAGTTTTTGATGTTTAAAAAGTTTCTGTCAAAAGGGAATGTTTTCAAATCTGCTGTTGATTCGAGGACATTATTAGGGATGGAACAATTTTTATTAACAATAAAAGTTTAGAAAAGTAACTAAATTAAAAACACAAAACTCAAGTCCCTCACCAACAATTTATTCTAGAATAATATATGAAACGATACAAAAATATTTGAATTAGCAACAATACAAAATGAGATAATGTTATTTATATATATTTTATACATCAGCGAATGAATTTTGTCTGATTCTTCTTGTGCTTTCTCAGAGACATCTTTCCTCTCATCACTTGGTCTTCCTGCTGCTGCCCTTCCTCTTGTCCTCCCAATCATAGGGGAATTCTTTTACCCCCGGCGCCGCCAATGCTTGTTTCAGCTGATCGTAATACTGAAAATGGGGAAAAAATTTTGTTTGTTGTTATATGAAGATCGCTCAGAAACTCACGTCTTGATAGTGCGGGACATCGTAGTAGCCAAGCTGGATCACATTCTGCAGAATGGCTGAAAAAAATTACAAATGTTTTTTGTTCAAAACTTCTATTAAGGCAGCAATTTACCTCCATATTCTGGCGGGCATCCATTGAAGAGATCCCTCACCATTCCCGGTTCCAGGGCGTGGACGCGGCGCTTCTGTTCACCAAGCTCACTCATGTTCTGGATCCGGCGCCATGGGATTCCTGCGGTCGTCATCTCTACAATCATGTAGATCTGTTAAAAAAAGAAAGTTTTTTAACCCTAAAAGGCAAATCAGCGAACCCATGATTCGACGTCGTCGGCTCGGCAGTATTCCATGTTCTGTAAAAGAAAAGATAAAAAGTTAACTGAAAAAAATGTTATTTTCCCTCACCATATGACAGCGAAGTGCTGCGTATCTTGGTGTTCCTCGAAAGCCCGCCGCGGAACGTGGTCGACGAAGGGTGTTGTCATCTCGGACGTAGCGACGGCACATGCCAAAATCCAGAATGTAGATGTTGCGAACATCTCCTTTGCGGTCCGGAAGGCCAATAGAGTAGTTGCCAGGCTTTATGTCCCGATGCAGATAGCCTATCTTGTGTAGCTCCTCGATTGCCTCCAAGGTCTGTATTGCCGCCGAAATAGCAGTGCCCTTTGTGAAGCATTCAGACTTGCGCGCCTTCCGCAGATCGTGCAGGGACTTTCCAAGAAGCGTCATAACCAGATAGAAGAAGTCGTTGCGCTAAATAAAAATACAAAAATTACTGTTAAATGGAAATTTATTCCTATATTAACTGGCCAAAACTCACATAGCGTCCGCTTTCGATTATCCTTGCAAAGTGCTTGAATTGTTGTCGACCAGCGTCCTGAAGAACCGTGACGTCCATCATCAGCACATTATGCTCAGCATCACAGTGCTCCGTCTTCAGCGCGTACACTTGGTTGGCACTTCCTCGAACACGATAGACTTCTCCAAACGCCCCGGCGCCGACTCTGTCCATGACGACCCAGTTGAGAAATTTGCTGCCGCTTTCAAGTCCCCGCTTTTTGCCTGGAGCGCACGACATCCTGACCGTGTAGTAGCAGCGACAATAATGGAAGAAGTAGCAGGAATGTAGTCGGAATAAGTTGGAATTGTGAGTTTGGTTGAATAAAGTTGGGTTTTATGTTGGGCTTTTATACTATAATTGTTTAGTTTTTGACGTTGTGAATGTTAATTATGTAAGTAGTTATTACTAGCGTCATTTCTCTGTCAGTTTTCATCCTGATTTCATTTTGCCTTATCTCTTTATCATTGTTGTTACTACTTGTTCTCGTCGTTATCCTCACCGTTTCAGCCAATTTATTCCCATCTATTGGACATAATGATATGCCAATTTGTGTTAACGGACTTTAGGGCAGAGTATCACTTAAAAAATAGAATAACTAACATATCAACTTTCTTAATTTACTAAATTCAGTCCCGATTATTAAAGGTATTGGCTACTTCTTCTATAATCCAGACGAAGCAGGCCAAGCTTCTGATCAGGCTTGGCACTATGCACGTTTTTTCTTTCAAATGTCTTTTGCTACAACTACATCAACTATCGTTTCTGGTAGTAAAAATAAAGAAAAAATATTTTGATTAAATTTAATTTTAGCTGCAATGGCAGAAAGAATTCGTTTAAAGCCTTATATTGTTATTACTTATTTGGTAAATAATCTTTATAAAAAATTTTTTTAAATTAATTTTTTAACTATAAAGATGACTCTTGTCCATTCAATTACTGCACATTGTAAGTAAATTGAAAATTTGTAAGCAAGTTTTTTATTTTTTAGGGGTTTGGTCTGAAGATGGATTTCTTCACCAATTAGAAGTTGTTGACGCTGCTGGATGTTCAGGCACTTAACTATTTTTTGTCCTTTTTTTGATAGCAAAAATTTTCTTTAAGTTGTTCATCTAGTCGGTGGAGTTTCTGGTTTAGCTGCAACACTTTATTTAAAGCCTAGGCAAGCCAGATTTGGAGAGAGGGGAAGTGCACATATGTCAAAGTGAGAGAGAGAAAAGTTCTTTAATTTTTTAAAATAGTCCAACAAATGCTCTTCTCGGAACTTTTATGTTGTGGTGGGGATGGTTAGCATTCAATACTGGGTCAACATTGGGAGTTGCTTATAATAGATGGAGACTTGCTTCGAGGTTGCTCTTTTTAATTATTTAAAATAAATTTTTTTTTGTTTAGATCAGCAATGGTTACATTATTAAGTTCAATAGGTGGTGGGTGTACTTCGATTATTATTTCATTAGTTTCAACGAGAAAATGTCAAATTGATTTATTAATTGATGGATTACTTGCTTCTTTAGTTTCTACAACTGCTGGTAGATTTTTTTAAAACGCAAAAATACCCCTAATCTACGAACAATTTTTTAGAGCAAAAATTAATCTACTCAGGCCCATAACTTGGGGGGGGGGGGAATTCCTCCCCCCCTCCCCCGAAATGAGAGAGGGAAAATTTTGGGGAGGGGATTGGGCAAAAAAGTGAATTAAAAAAAAATTTCCCTCCCTCGTTTGCCCCCCCCCCCCCTCCCCACAAAAAATCCTGGTTAGCATGCACCTCCTCTTTATTTTTTCCTTTATTCCTCTCTTATTTCTTACCACAATTTATATAAAATTTAAAAATAATTCAATTTAAAAAAGGTTGCCACAGTTTGCGGCCAATAGACAGCATTGCAGTTGGAGCAATTGGGGCAGCATTAGCCCTTTCTGTATATCCATTGGTTGAACGATTAGAAATTGATGACCCTGTTGGTGTTATACCCGTACATGTTATTGGCTCTGCTTGGGGTTGGGTTCTTTTGAATTTAAACTTTGAAAAAAAATTTTTTAGGGATGATTTGTGTTGGTATATTTTCGTATGAAGATCGTGAAACTGCTATAGAAGACCCCAGAAATGTTTGCTTTTATTTTTAAAAAATATTTTTAACCAATAATTTTTTGTAGAAAGGTGTAACAGGAAATAGATATGGACTTTTTCATGGTGGCGATTTTGAGTTAATAAAGGTTAAATTTTTTTTATTATTTGGTTTAGTGGTTGGATTTTCTAACAATGTTTGAGTTTAAGGGGATTGTCTTACAAGTAGATCTAGTTCCCTATATCTCAAACCCAAACAATGTTACAGAATCTAAAATAGCTATAAGGGAATTCTTTTTATTTTTAAAGGTCCAAGCTCTATGTGTTGTTTGTGTATCGGCATTTTCACTTATTGTTACATTTCTTTCACTTATTGTAAAAATTACAACTTTTAAACAAAAATAAATTTAATTTTTAAAAAGATTATGAATCAATTCCCTTGGGGTTTAAGAATGACAAAATATGAAGAACAATTAGGTGCTGATTTAATAGAACATGGATTAGCTGGACATAATATTGCTAATTATTCTATTGAAAAGAAATTAAATGTCAAGTGAGTTTTGTTTAAAAATTAAAATTAATTAATTAAAAAAAATTTTTTTTGCCTCGACCTCGAATAGTTAATAATTAATTATTCTAAAAGTAAAAAAAGTGTTAGGCAAAATTTTAATAGTCACCAAGTGGGAATCGAGTTTGTGACCCCCTGGAAAGTTTGTTAGGAGCTTTGCTAAATACTACAGTGACGATGACTTTCTCTCTTTTATAATTAGTCCGTCGTTTAAGCCTTTTAAATGCTAACCATCTGAATCCTTCCCTTAACTTCTCTGGTCCTTGACCAAAAATTTAAAGTTATAAAAATGGGAGAATATGAGAAAAAAGAAATTTGGTCAAGGAGTTGAGAATGAGGTCGAGGCATTAAGGAATGCCTATAGTATAATAAAATATGTGGCAAAATGGAAACGAAAAGCAAGACTTGCAAGAGAAAGAAGAGCAGCTGAGGCAGCAACTTTAGCTGCTGAAACACAAGGAAATAATCGTTTATCTATTGGAGGAGAATTGTCTTCACAGATTCCTAATAATTCTGACAATGCTGGTACTTCTAGAATTAGGCTTGGCCCTTTAAAATTGGGTGGTCTAAGAAGGCCTTCAACAAGTAATTTTTTAAAATAATTTTGGCTAAAACGAATTCACTAAAATGACAATTCACCAGGGCTTCGATCTCGAATTTTTAAAAATCCGCAATTTTAATCGAAAAAATCCGCATTTGATATGAAAAATCCGCAAAAAATTATCAAACACAAAAGTTGAATTAAAATCACTTTATGCGTTATTTTTTTGACTCCATCAATTGAATTGAGCAATTTTTCCTACTAATGACTATGTATTTAATTAAAATCCGAACAATTTAATGAATTATGTTGACTTGAGCCAGGCCAGTAGCCAGGATTTTTTTTCGGGGGATGGGGGGGGGGGCAAGGGGAGAAATTTTTTCTGAGCCAAATTTTTTGGCGCCGAAGGCGCCAAAAATTTTTATTTTTAGCGCCGCAGGCGAAAATTTTGAGAATTTTGGAGCTCATTAAACTAGATTTTATCCATTTTCAGCGCCGCAGGCAAAAATTTTGCGGATTTTGGAATGCCAAGAAGCCAAAAATCGCCCTTTTTCAGCGCCGCAGGCGAAAATTTTGCGGATTTTGGAAGGCCATGAAGACAAAAAATGGCATTTTATCCTAAAAACTACAAGAAAATACAAAAAATCCTCATAATCTTCAAAAGACCACAAAAATCCGCAAATCCGCATTTTTAAAAATAATCCTCATCGCTCTATCAAAAAACCACAAAATGAGGAAAAATCCGCAGAAATCGAAGCCCTGCAATTCACCGATTTCGGACTTTTTTTTAGTGAATTGTCTTTCGATGAATTTATATTTTTTAATATTTGATGTTTTTTAAAAAGATATATTTGGTGGATCAAGCAGTTTAAGTGCTCGTCCAAAATCGGCCCTTGGAAGGAGACAAATTGAAAGAGAAAAGAATTCATTGCCTCCAATGCGTACTCCAAGGGATCCACAACAACAAGAATCTGCTTCTGATATTGACAAAACTTCACTTGATGAAAGATTGCCTAATGGTTATTTAATAAATTTCTAATATACAGTTGGATCTCACTTTAGACCCCCAAATATTAGATCACCTCAATTTGAAGAATTGTTTGTCACCTCCTATTTAATATACACCTCATTATAAAATACATACAATTCTCTCTGTCCCTTAAAGGAGTATTTATAAGTGAGGTCTGATTAATGTAATTTCTATAAAGAATTTCATTTTTAAAGGAATCCCTGGAAATGGTTCAATACCTTTAGGAAAACCAAAATCTACTATTGTAATCACACCAAGTTCACCAACACCCTCTATTTTGCAGCAGCATCGAATTCTTCCTCCTTTAAGAATGCCTGATGTTGAAGAAGAAGGAATAGAAAATAATAATAATGACGGGGATATTGGAGGAAGTAATAATAGACAAGCATTAAGAAGAAATAGTGAAAATAATACAGAAGTAAATATTAGGGGTGGAGGAAGTAGAAGTTTAATTGGAAGATTTCGACGAGGAGCGTAAGTTTTTTCTTTGCTTTATTATTTGAATGTACTCTGAAATACTTATAGTACAATTAGTTTCTTATGAAGTGAGTATCGTTTAGGCATCCCCACCCAATAGCCAACCGGATTTAAAAGTACTATTTTAAATTTGGGGTATGTTTTATATTTAGTGAAGTCCGATCGCTTTTCCCCTTTTTATTAAATTTTCTCTTTTTAGAAGAGTAGCTCCTGGAAACGAAGATATAGCTTTACAAGAACATCCAAATATACAACAACCAACCATTAGAAGATTTCAAGAACTACAAGAAACGCCATTATCTGCTAGATCAACTTCTGTCGTTCAATCAGAAGGATTTGATGAACAACAAGTGAGAAGGGCTGATTCAATGCAAGCATTGACAGGGGGAGCAACGAATCCTATAGCCAGGAGAAGAGAAAGTGCTGCAACTAATGATTCAATTGTTTAAAACTTAATTGTTTGCTCAAAAAGGCGATGAGAAGATTTAATCATTTTTAGGGTTATTTTTACGGGTATTTCTCTTTTAGCAATACTTTTTTATTAATTTTTATATTGTTATATTTTGTGTAGATAAATATTTTTCTAGTCGTTTTGAATTCATTGTTACGCTTTTACTTTTGGTGTTGTATATTTTTCATGTTGTTTTGTATTAGGGTTTGTGATAGTTGGGGATTTTTGCATTTATTAAGGTACTACATATTTGTCAATTAAGGGATAAGGGACATTTTGGCCTTTGGAAGGGGGACACGCCCAAGTAGGCTAATCTCTACTTTGATACCAATCTCTTTAACTCGAAGAGAGGAATCGTTTTATACTAAATTTGGTAAGATTCGGAAATCTTGAAGCAAGTCTTGAAGTATGCGCAGTTATGGCCGCGCGCCTACTTGGGCTGTACTCTGTGGAAGGATTTCCAACTCAATCCGCCTACTTTTCTGATTTTAGTTTAACTCATCCACAAATAAATATTTATGATTCTGTTTAGATTTTTTTTACTTTTTATTCTTTTTAATTTTTTCTAGATAATTTAAAAATTATTAAGTTAGATTCAATTTTTTAAATATTAAATGGCTGAACAGGATTTAAATCGTAACATTAATGAACTTAATGAGGTTATTTTCGAATTATCTAATTATTATTTTTAAATTTATAGCAAAAGATTAAAAAGCAAATCGAAAGTATTGGTCATAGTGTGGTGGCGACTTCTTTTTTTCATCCAGTATCTTTTACTCGTACATTGATGCAGCTTGGACATGAACCTTTTCCTCTGGAGAAAGGAAAAGTTTACGTATTTTTTGGACGACAGGCTTATTTTTTGCCAAACTTCTATCAATATCGTAAATTTTTTTATATTATAATTGAGAATTCCTATGAGTCCAAAAGAAAAAAAAATGGAGTGCACGGAGAATGGGCCTTCTTATCTTGCCTTTTTTTAATTTTTTTTGCTTAACATATATTCTTTTTGATGTCGGATTAATATTCGACAAATACTTTCCTTATTTTCTTTCATTTAAACCTTAATTTCAGTTAATAACTTCTATCTTTCACACGGGTTTGCAACAATTTACACAGGTGTTGGTGGACATGCTCTGCAAACGTTTTTACATTTGTCTGGGGGTTTTGTTATTACTGAGGTTTTAATACAAAAAAATATGGTACTTATCGGTTATCTCCCCACACATTATTTTTCTTTCATTTCCCCCTCTCCTTCTTCCCATAAGTTACAAAAATGCCACATTTTCTTTCTCTGTTTTCCCTCTTCTCCTTCCCAAAAGTTACAAAAACGTCACAGGCAAATAAAAAGAGAAAATGTAATTTAAAAACATTATTTAGGGGGTTCCGATTCCTCATGTTTGTACCCTTTCCAACATTCAGAAATATACAAGTACCAGGACTTATATACTTGCTAAAACACATAACAGGCTGTGACATTTTGTAACTTTTGTGAAGGAGAAGAGGGAAAAATGTGGCATTTTTGTAATTATTTAAAAGAAGAAGAGGGGAAAAAGGGAAAGAAAATGTGGCATTTTTGTAACTTATGGGAAGAAGGAGAAGGGGAAATAAGAGGAAAATAACGTGTGGGGAGATAACCGATAAGTACCAAAAATATTTTTTGATAATTTTTAAAAAGATTTTGAATCGTTACTATCCGGAAATTGGAGGAAATATTGAGGATTTGAAAAATTTAAATAATTTGGACAACTATCAACAATTTCGATTGCGTTTACGTGATGGAATACGTAAAACTATTCAAGTAGTTATATGTTCAATAATCTCTCGTCCATTTACTGGTATTTTTAAAATATTTGAAAAAAATTAAAGAAATTATTTTAGTTGTAGCAATTCGTCAAATAGCTCAAATTATTGGAAACGAAACAAAATATTTGCCTATAAATCCTTTCCAACCTTTATTACTTATTGGTGCAGAAGAGGGCCCTCCTGGACTTTTTTCTGGATTGATGCCTGTAATTGTTAATGGACTAATTTCTGTTTGGGGAACGACTATTTGTATTTATGGTGTTGATTTGGCGTTCAAAAAATTTGTAAATAATTTATTTTTCTTCAAAATGATTATACTTTTAAAATTAATAGGAAAGAGAATTCCAAGATTTAGAGCAACAGGAAAGAGAAGTAATGGCTCATTCGCGCAAATCATTTGATTATCTTGTTCCTTATTTGGTTAATACTTTGCGTTATCCTTTTGAAGTATGCTCTACTGTGATGGCTGTAGCTGGTTCTGGGTATGGAATTTTCTTTGGATTTTTAATTGTATTTGTTTGTTTCCGACATTTAATTTCTGTTAATTTATTATGCACTGTAGCCGGGTCGATCCCAACCGTTTTTTTTTAAATTAGTCCGGTCTGACTATGAGTTTAATCTGTCGATCTAGCTTTGAATAGCCATAACTCGGCCTAAAGTTATTTTGCAAGAAAACCCGCATCACTTTGCAATAGAAAATTGATGGTCCTCTATCGATTGGTACCAAAAAATTACCAAATTTTTGTGTACACTGTAGTCGATGTTCCCTTGTGTGTTAGATATATGCCATTTTTTAATTCCATTTGAATGTCATTTAAAAGAATTTTTGTCTCTTTTAGGTTATTAGCCTCCCTTCTTCCCTATTCACCATCCTTCAAACATTGGTCTGATGCTTATGATTATTTGGCGCCACATGAACTTCGTAGAGGAGCAAAATTTTTCTTACGAGAGGAAACTGGTTCAATTCGTGTTGGAACAGATAATAGATTGTATGCAAGCAAACAACATTTTATTTAAGACAAAAAATCTAATTTGATTATAGATTTAATTTTTCTACTTTTTTATCGGTAAATGAGTAAAATTTTATTTGGATTTATTTTTGAAATTGTTTTTAAACATTTATATTTTGATTCGTTTTAATTTTTAAAATTTTTAAAGAATTTTTAAAATCAGAAAATGAAAGTTGTCTTTTTACACCCCGATTTTGGCATTGGCGGAGCAGAGCGACTTGTTTTAGATTCTGTGTTAGCGTTGAAAAAGAAAGGGCATAAAGTTTGTGTTGTAACTAATCAATTTTCTTCTGATCATTGTTTTGAGGAATTGAAGGACCTTAGAGAAGGTTTTAAAAATTTTTTAGTTATTTTCCCGGTTTTTTAAAGATTTGGAGGTTGTCGCACAGAAATTGCCTTGTTCAATTTTTGGAAAGTTTTCTGCGTTCTGTGCTTATATCAGATTTTGTATTGCTGCATTTTATGTTTGCTTTTACCATCGTGATACTGACCTTGTTTTTTGTGATCAGGTTTATTTAGATATTTTTCATCTCTTAATTGTTGTTTTTCGCTCTAGATTTCCGCTCCATTACCTATTTTGCGGCTATTTTGTGGATGTTCTATACTTTTCTATTGCCATTACCCGGACAAATTATTGGCTATTAAGCGTGACACTTTCTTAAAAAGACTTTACCGACTTTTTATCGATAATATCGAGACTTGGACTATGGATTGGGCTGATCAAATACTCGTTAATAGGTTTTACTTTAATAATAGATTACACAAACCCTTAACAAAGAAAAACCTAGCATTTCTTTAATTTTCATACTCAAATTTTGCGAGTGGTGGTATAGCAAAAATTTGTGTTCTTTGTCAGTTTGATTTAGTCCAACATTAGCAATTTCAGTGAAAATTTTTATTAATCATTTTCTAGTAATTTTACTAATGGAGTTGTTCAAGAGACATTTCCAGCCTTAACCATTCGCCCATTGACTGTTTTATATCCTTCGATCAACTGCGAATTTTTTGACAATACTTTGAAAAAATTTAAAGAAGACGGAATTGATGAAATTAAGAAGACCCTGTCTGCGGATTTGGTTGATTTATTAAAGCAAAAAGAGACAATAAGTTTTCTCTCTGTCAATCGATTTGAACGAAAGAAAAATATTGAATTGGCAATTCAGTCTTTTGGTTATTTTAATAAATTAAATTTTTTATTTTTATTAATTTAGCTTTCTTGCTTTCCAAAATTTCGTCAGAAAATTCAAAAAAATGTATTTTGGTGATTGCTGGTGGTTATGATCCTTTAAATTTGGAAAATATTGAACATTTTGATGAATTGGTTAGATTAACAGAACAATTAGGTGTTGCAGAGCAAGTTAAATTCATCAAAAGTCCAAGTAAGTTCTGTTTATGACAAATTTTAGTTAATCAATGAGATTAACAATTGGATATAATTTATAAACGAATACAAAGAAACAATTTAATCGGCTATTATAATTCAAAATTAAATCAAATTTAAGAATCTGGTCAAGATGCTATGTCATCTGTTGGGTTAAAGTCGTTGTTTTCAGACTTTATTAATTCCTTAAATTTATTTATTTTCTATCCTCGCAATAATTTAAAAAATTTTTCCAGATGATTATTCAAAAATTTGGTTAATGTCTATTGCCCGATTAATAATATATACACCCACGGGAGAACATTTTGGGATTGTTCCAGTTGAGGCAATGTTTCTATCTACTCCAGTATTGGCAGTAAATAATGGTGGGCCTACTGAAACAATTATTGACAAAAAGACGGGATTTCTTTGCCCTCCAGAAAAGGAAATATTTGCTGAATCGATGGAATTTGTAATAAATAATTCAGAAATTATTAAAGAAATGGGGATTTTGGGTAATTAAAAATTTTTGAAATTTTTTGAAAAAAATTTTAGGCCGTCAGAATGTCGAAAAGAATTTCTCTTTTGACTCATTTTCTGATAAACTTGACCAAATTGTTTGTGTTCTTGTTTCAAAAAGGAATTCAAGTAATGAAGACAATAAAAAGGACTAAAAAGTTTAAAAATTAATTTATTATAATTATTTATATTTCAAAGCTTTAAAATATTATATTTTAAATAGTTTATTAAATTTTAATTACTAAATAAATTCAGTTAAAGAATTTAATTATTGTTAGTTGACTTTCATATTTATGTCAACTA